TTGTTTGTTTTCTCCCCCCCCCCCCCCCCCGCCGCCACTCTTCGAGTCAAGGAGGAGGTTGAATCGCAGCACTCTCAGAATGTCAGTAAAACTACTGTTCTCTCTCTGCTCCAGCATTAAAAGTCCAGAACCGGGGACAAATGAGGCAGTGCAAAAAACTGAATAAAAAGTTGGAAGATTTTGACCGTGCTGCTTCCAAAAGCAGCATGGTCACATGGCAAATTAAATATGAAAAACTCTCAGAACAGGAAATGGAGAATAATAGGAATATGTCAAGAACTTTTTAATGCATTACTATCCCTACTTCAGAAACTTTTGGGTGGCTTGAACCACTGGTGCTGGAGTGAATTAGGTTGCATACAGAGACCTCTACATCACAGCTGTCTCCATAGCACTCCACTTTAGGGGAGGATTATTACTTAGGTCACGTTGCTCCATCCTGAACTAAGGAACTGTTTTGCTGGAACATGGGCCCATAGGCTGCCCAGGCCCCGCAGGAGCCGGTCAGGGGCCCTTGTAGCCAGCAATGAACTCAAGGCAGTATGTGCTTAAGAGTGGCCCTCGCGGAGTAACACAAAGACAACTGTGTGTCTCTACAGAGCTCAGCTCAGCTATATGCCGCGGTTAAGATGATCTGTGGCAGGATCTACAGAGCCTGGCATCTTGGCACTCTTCTTCACCTGAGACCGTGAAGGCTGTATCCCTTTCTCCCTTTACTCTTATGACTCTTAGGTCCAGTCCAACCCATTGCACTGTTATCTCCTTGAAAGACTATATAGTTTGCATATCTGGAACAACCAGAGTAAGACAATTTCTGCAGGAAAATCATAGAATTATAGAAAATACTATGGTGGAAGGGGCCTCTGGAGATCATCTGCTCCAACCTTCTCTTGAAAGCAGGGCCTTAGATTAAGTTAACCAGGACTCAAAATAGTCACACTCAAGGCTTGGCATAAGAATCTAGCTCCAACCCCTCAGCCTCAAAACTACATCAGCCTCAATGCCCAAGAACAAGAGGTTCACCATTTCCCCACAGAAGCTAACAGCCACCAGTTCTTACCGGTTGGTCAGGTACTAATTCAGGTTGATCAAATCTGTTATTGTCTTGGTTCTGGCCACGGTGCATATTGCTGGCCCCGAAAAGCCATCTTGGGACATGCGTGAGGTGAGAGTGCATAGCTGGAACTCATGCTGCCTGCTGTTCCTCCACATCGGGCCTTTAGCTCTGCAAACCAGAGGAGCATGCCCTGAGCCTCGAGGGCCTTGCTAGGAGTCACTCACTAGTTGATCGCAGCTACACCAACTCAATACATGACCGTTTCACTCTTACTTTCAGAATATGGACACCTGCTGCTGGTAATGGGAGAGAAACCTCTTTGCTCCAGATTAACTTTGTTCAGTCTGGCTCTAACACAGGGAGCAGGCCTGACCTCAGTATTGAATAGTAGTCCAAGCAGCCATCTGTATGCATATAGCCAAATGTCATTAGGACTAGGATTAAACTATCTGAGCCTGCAGAGGCATGAAGTTGTTGGCTATTACATACCAACAATTATAATCACCCTCCCTTCACCTGTCTGTAACACCTGTAGCCTCAAGCCAGCAAGTACAATCACTTGGGGTCAAGAATGCTTAACAAGAGACCACCCTTAACTCTGCAAGTGAGGTTTCCATTTCGGGAAGACGTTGCCTGTGTAGTGACAAGTGCTCCTTACAGCACACTCCCCTCCAGAGATACTTGCTAAATCCCATCTGACTGCAGCAGGATTACCACCTTGGCCTACAGCCACTGGCCTCACAGGGAGGAAAAGTTGCCGAGATATTTCCCCAAAGGAAAAAAAAAAAAAAAAGCTTTACTTCAGCTTTATAAGTACCACTTTTCTAACAAAGGAGCAGAGAGTGGCAATCTTGCCGATTAATTGGAACAATTAAGAACAATGAAACAGAGTCATCCTGAAGACTCATCTGCCTGCCTGGCATGATCTTAGGAAAAAAGGACCTTATCTATTGTGCCATATCCTTCTTCCCTTGGTATGTGCTCATGCTCCACCCAGCTGCACCGCTGGCTCACCAAACAACGGCACACAAGGGCAGCTAGCTCCTGCCCAATTTCAGCTGCCACTGCAGCAGACCCTGGGATCTGAGCTGCACCTTGGGGAGCACCAGCAAGTAACTCTGTAAGCACGCTGGTACTTCTGTCTTTTGCTGGCCTCCAATTCCAAGAAGCGCCCTCGAGTCAGGATGTCAAAAGCTGATAGTTGTTCATAGCCACTTCAGACACAGAACTCACAAGTCTCCATCCAGGAAAACACAGGAAACATGTCAGTCCTTGGTAGCGTTCAAAAACACACGCTATATTGTTCCTACCTGGTCTCACACAGCAGCTCTGTCCCAAGGCCATACTTTACAATTCAACTACACGAACACGCAGGCTAGACAGATTCCTTTTGCGGACTGCAAGCTCAGCTGATTGCTAGGACATGAGTTCTAGACAAGATGGGAAAAGAAGCATTTATCACATGCTAATGAACCTGAGAGAGAGAAGAGGGTCCTGGAGGCAATCTTAGAGCAGCCTCTAGATTGTGGAAGAAAGGTGATACAGCAAATGCAAGTAACAGTAGAAGGAAGGGAAGAGCTAGTCCCTCCCTGGCAGTGAAAAGGCAGGGTTCATAACTCACCTGCTGCTCTGCATGTTGAGTAGATAAAAAACCTTGTCGCTTTCAAGGGTAGTTGCAGAATAGATTGAGCCCTGGGGTACCCTCTATTTTACTGAGCAGCTGTTACATGCAGTGCAAGTCCTTACTCAGTAGGACTTCTGAGTCCTCAGCAAGACTGACTCCCCTGGTCTGATGGTGCCAGTGTCCTCAATCCCCAGCAGATTTTCATCTTGGTAAACAGCTGGAAAACTGTCCAAGGCCTTAAGTCTAAAACAACAGGTTCTTTCTTTGCCCCCATCATCCAGAACGTATTGTGGTGCAGCCATTTTATTTGAAAAAGACAGCCGTAGCAGCAATAAGGGGACCACAACTGCTGCTTTGTCAGTTATGCCTCAGCATAACAACGTCAAGACTTGCCAATGATTTCCATTCATGCCAAAATGCAGGTATTTGTATTCCGAGTGCACAAAGAACAATTTAAAAATTCCTTTCATGCCAGCTAGTCCTTTCTGCCAGCCTATAGAAGGCTGCTATAAGCGTATCCTCAAAACCAAATGCCCGACAAGTGCACCATTTCCTAGGAGGACTGTGTGTGTTATGCACCCTCTCATCAGGTGCAAATGCAGTGCAATTGACTGTCATCACACCAAATGTGACACTTGTTATTGCTATTTTGCATATCAAAAAACAAGGGCTCTTATTCTTGCTAATGACCCAGAAAACAGTTCCACAAAAACAGTTCCACAACTTGACAAGGGGGGGCTGGGTGGAAATCACTGCTAGGAGACTCAAACATTGAATCAGCTTGCCCAGAGAAACTGGAATCCCTGTCCTTGAAGGTTTTCAAGACCCAACAAGACAAAGTCCTGAGCAACCTGGTCCTAGTTCAGCATTGACTCAGCTCTGAGCAGGAGACTTGACTAGAAACATCCCAAAGCCCCCTCCTTTCTGTGCTAGTACACACAGGTACCCTCTCTATACCCAGGGAATGGATGAGTTCTCCCTATTACAGTCTCTTGATAGCAAATCTTTGGTTGCCAGATCCACTCTGTGAGCTAACTGATGTTGCACAGAAAACACCCTTACGGTTTTCCCTTCTCCCACATGCACAAACACTGCAGCGACAGGATCCCGGACCTTGCCAGACAGTTCCTCTAGGACTTGTTAAAACAGAGAAGGATGGATAACTTTTCAGGATACTCTTCCAAGAACTGCCTCTTCTCTGGATCTTTGACTTGATGTCCAAGAATAGGCACTGCTGCATCCATGCTGCATCCAGACTGCATAAAGTTGTCTCCATCTCATCTCATCTCTAGAAGAGAATGAGAAAGATCAAGCACCCAAATGACTACTCCCACAGCACGGAAATGAAGTTTAATAATGTTGAACTAGATTTAAAAACTGGT